TGTTACTGAGCCATAACATAGGAAAGATGGTCATCACCATGAAACAATAAATGATGAACACCCCCAAAATAAAATAAAGCATGCACTGGTTTAGTTGTGCATGAAAACTAGAATATGGGAAATGATGAGGTAAGCAACAGGTTTGGAGGTCAGGAATTACCATAGAAACTTGGCTTTGTAATTTGGATCTCGAAATTAGCATTGGCCATCTTTTTCAGCTTCCTGTGGTATAGGTTGAATAATCACTCTATAACCTGGAACTGACTGAAGCTTACTGGTATAGTGTAATAGTTCTGCCATATTTATTGTAACAAAAGGGATAAACAATAACGGAGAGCAAATTAAACCAATCAGTAAGCTAATAATAATAATATCCACTGAAACTAGGTCTAAAGCTCATCGTACAATGTAACCGTACAATCTTTGTATTGCAATATGAGGGCTCACATAAACCAGCCAACCTGCATCTAATCATGCAGGCTCCTGCACTACATAATTGTTGGTAGATCTAAAGGAGATTGTACAGTCAGATTAGAACATGAGTGTTGATTTTAAAGCCACGCTCTGGGCAAAAAGACAATTTACACACTGCACTGGATGTATAAATATGTCATTGAAAAGCTGCGTGGAGGGCTGCTGCAAAATATAAAAATCTTAGCTTGCAACATGTCATCTCCTGCGCATAACTCCCAGCTTGCTCCGGTCTCATCACCCGTCCCTCCTCACAATTGTCCACTCACAAAATGTATTTTTTCAAAGAATACAAGACATTCTGTGATTGGAGAGGAGAGGAGGTGTAGGGATGTGACATAATTTATCCTCCCCCAATCACAGAATGTCTTATATTCTTTAAAAAAAACATTTTATGAATGGATGATAGTGAGGAGGGGTAGGTGATTGGACTGGAGCAATGTACTGCTCTAGTCACATTTCTCTCTCTTCTCAGTGCCTGCCGGGAGGCTTGGCTTTGTGTGCAGAGATGGCATGCTGCAAGGTAAGATTTTGTATACTTTGCGGGAGGCCTCTGCACATAACACCCAGCTTTTTAATGATAAGTTACACACCCAATGTAGTGTGTAAATTATCATTTTGCTCAGAGTGTGGCTTTAAGGGCCTGTGCCATGGGTTTTGGGCTTAAATCTATGGCATGAGTTTGACACGCTTCTGAGATTACTCAGAATGCATTGACCTTTAGTTGACCTCCTTCTGACCTGTATTTAACCTAGTGAAAGTGGGTTTTGGATTGCCATAGATTGTGTGGGAAGACAAAGTATGTTTGAAGTGAATAAAAGCCCATTGACACAGGCCCTAAAACTGCTCATCAAAGGGTCAGCGGGAGTGCACTTCTGAAGTGCTGTGTCACTTCTCTCTCGTGCACTCACCAGACACATTCAAACTTCCAAGGCAGGTTTGAATCTCACTGCTGGCTACAAGAATTTTTTTAGTTTTGACATTTTATTTATGTCTGTATGTAAGAGGAGGTAAGGAGACTGCAGCAAGGGAATTCCTCTGATACATCACAAATACATGTTCTAAGATCACCATGCTGCCAACATTAAAGGAGAACTATGGGGTCAGTGTTTTTCCCCATAGTTCTCCTTAGGGTAACGAGAGTACACAAACTAGCGTCCTCCCGTTACCCTAAGCTCAGTATACCGCGAGCTACAGCTCGCGGTATACTGAGACGCCGCAGCTGGAGCGGATCCCGACTTAGACGACGGGATCCGCCCAGCTGCGTGAGTGACAGCTGGCTCTGCCTATCTAGAGGCAGAGCCAGCTGTACCCGCCCCCTCCCCCGTCCGTTCCGCCAGTCAGCGCTGGCAGATCGGAGAGGGGAGTCCAGCCCCTCCCCCTGTCACGGCAGAGAGCCGTGACAGGATCGAGAGGTGAGCGAACCCGGTATGTGTTCGCTCACCTCCCGATCTACTGAGCCGACCTGTGACAGTCTCATTGTCACAGGTCGGCTAGAACTATGAGGTGAGTGAGAAGCACTCACCTCATAGTTCTCCTTTAAGGAAAAGTGTACTATACAATGCCAAGATAAAAAATCTAAAGTACTGAGCATGTAGACTGTGTGCACTGTGTGTATCCTAAAGATTAATTTTCAACTTTGATTGGAGTGTACCATTATAAACTCTGGGTACAGCTGTAAGCATGTCTTTAAAGCCTAATCCAAGCCACTCTGAAGCAAAGTCGTTCATAGCCAGAGAGCATACTACAGACTTTAAAAATAAATTGTGCATGTCCTATTCTTGTCTCAATTGACTTCTTGAATGTGTTCCTTCAACATTCTGATTGTTGTGCCCATATAGCCATAGGAGCACATCATACAATAAACCACATGTGCGACAGGTAATCAATTCTCATATACAGCGTACTTAACCACCTAACTTCACTTCTTTAACCTTCATCATATGTATAATTTGCCATGAATGTCCTGGATTCTCTTTTTCTGGATTGAGTGGATGAGTTTCCAAACCATACTCTACCCAGTTTTACTCTAGCGGAATTCAACACTCTAGCTTTACTAATATATCAATAACCTTGTAGCAAACTAGTTAAAATCTGGCACTTTTATGAACATTTTAGTAAATTGATACTTTGATGGACTCTATTGACTTGTATGTCAGGAGCAGCTGATATTCTTCAAACCGAACATGACTCCACAGCTGTGTGAATGTAGAACTTTAAATAACCCACTTAGTGACTTAGGTTACCTTTCATATTGCTATTATGGGCACTGAATTTGGGTCAGCAGATACTGTACATAAATAAAAATATATGAGGTCAATCTAGGCATAGATTAAGACCTAGAAAAAGCTTTTCACATGGCTAATACATGTTAACTTTCCAAAACTGGAATGATTTGCTTTATTCTTTTTATTCCTTATCCACCAATTTTTATTTCTGTTCTTAAATTCCAGGGAAGTGTTATATTTTTGTAATGTTATGTTTTTGCTGTAACCCTAAGTCTGATCATTGTTTCTTTATCCTTTAAATATATGCAGTGCAGATGTACTGAAAGACAGTCATGTTAAATGCTCTTGTTAAAGCAATTTCTGTAGTTTCTTCAAAGTGCAGTAGCATGTGGAAAGCCAAATTATATAGGACATTTGCAAAATAATTTCTGAACTCATTACGGGTATGGCAAAGAAGACTGTTAGTGTGGAAGTTATCACAGATACAGGCCAAACACAACCTTTAAAGTCCTATGGGAAATATAGAATAGGGGGCCCAAATACAATGTTTACATCCTCCAATGTCACTGAAAATAATCCCATCAGACTTTGTACACTGTAAGCGTATAATGCGACTCAAACTATTGCCCAATGAATATCACAGAATAAATGTGTTTTATTGTGCCTACTGTTTAAGCCTCCGTTTTCATTAAAAAAAACTACACCTACAAAAGTGCAATTGGGATGCGGAGCTGTGTTCTTCAAAGGTTTTACGTGTTATGCACTAAAGTAAAGTGAAAGTAAAGTTTAAAACATTGCTGATTGGCTGGCTTTCTTTTTTCTAAAGCTTCTTTGTACCATTCAGCATTTTTTTCTTCTGTACGCTGAGCAGCGCATGCACAGCTCAGTGCACAGACCTGGCTTGCAGAGATCCCGTGTGCATGCATGGGAGTTATTTCAATAGGGCCCGGCCAATCAATCGGCCTAAAACTTAAAACCTGAAATAAGTCCAGGGGAGAAGATAGAAACGCAGATGAGGAAGAAGTGCATCGCTGTAAGGGATTGGTTTGGCAGGTACATCTGCCATAATGTGCTAATATGCTATGCATACTAGCACATTATAGCTAAAAGCTCCTGGGGAAGTGGGCCTGTTTTTTTGTTTTTTTTTGTCCTTAGTTTTACTTTCACTTTAAGCCATTCAATATAAGATTAGAATGCTCTGGTGTCAGATCAAGAGTTGGCTCAAGATCAGGAGACCTGTATTTGACCATACGGAGTATAGCATATAGCATGGTAGGCAAACTTCGGCCCTCCAGATGTGGTGAAACTACAAATCCCTTCAGGCACTTGCCTCTGGGAGTCATGTCTGTGGATGTCTGTCTTGCAATGCCTCATGTGATCTGTAGTTCCACCACAGCTGGAAGACCAAAATGTCCTACCCTTGGTATATATAGCCAAATATGCTCTGGTATACAGACTGGTTTTGAGTAGTTCTACTGTTCCCAAATGAGATACACAATCATTTTCTACATTTCAGGTTCTAGTTCATCAATGGGTATTAGGTGATCTTGTTCAAGACTGCTTACGTTAACTGGCTAGACCCCAAATAGTCTTTACAAGAAAATCAGGAACTGTGGAAAACACAAGCTCCTCACTTGCTGAGAATTAGCTTCATAAAAGATTTTAAAGTGATATATTTGGATGTTTCTAAAGGTTGTTGTCAACATAATCACTTTTTCTGCAAAACCATATATTGTGTAGTGAATATGTGATATGTCAGATTGTTGGGGGGGTGGGGGGCAGGACAAGCCAGTCTGCTGTAATGGAGCTGTTCCATTTTCCCCACAGTGTACAGTACTGATGAAGGGGAAGCAGATCTCCCAAAAACTGTACAGCCAGGAAGGTGACAGCGTTATTTCCTGGTTTATCTATGCTGCTTATCATATTACATCCCTGCCTGCAGTTTAAAAAAAAATGAATCTTCGTAATGACCCCTGCCCTAAGATCATGGAGAGGACTTAGGAAGCAGTAAAGCAGATCCAAGAAGTAGCAAGGTGATATTCCAGGTTATACGGAGTGCAGAGGTGTGCAAATCACAAGAGGGGATGTGCAGAATTACAAATTAGTAGAACATTTTACTCAAAATGTGTTATATGGTGCTTGCTTTTAGGCATTCTGTTTGAAGCATTTTAAAGGTGTGCTAGTAGTATTGTGTACTTGTCTACTACCATTTGAAATATCGTTAAAAAGACAAACACTTACTTATTGGAGTAAAGAGGCTGTACATGAAAACATTCATTGATTGACTCTCTGCTTCTTCAGGTTTGTAGATGGCATAGAGACTGAGTGCAGCTCACCTACTACTCAGACCTTCGACTTTAATACCAAACCACTAAGCCAAGAAAACTCACCTAGATGTTCCAACTCAGGTAAGGTTTTAAGTCGATATGCATGTACTGTCCAACCCAGACTTACGTTTTCAAGATTTGGTTTTAAAATCTGTGTCTGCAAATATGTGAAGATTGAAAAATAGTACAAAAAGACAATTTTTTTGATAGACAGTACAATAAACTGTATTTAAGTTAAAGCAGTAAACTTAAAAAATACATAATGATCCCCTTGTGAATAATATTATAATAATAGTATATGGTGAGCAATGTGTATGGTGGAAACGATCATATATTATCTCTTCCTTACAGAAAATGTGGAAACCAGGAAGAGTATTGTGAAACTGAATCAGGAGGTGAGGGCTTCTTATTGGTATTTGTTTAGTCCTAAACAGTTATTATAGCTAAATGGAGATAGTTTGTTGTATAAGCAGTCTGTAATCCTTATGATGTAGCAGTTCATGGTCACCACACCATTCTGAAACAATATATGAAGCAGTGCCACACAAAACACTTTTTGCATGGGATCATGTCCATTTCTAGCATACTTGTGTGCTTGTTTTTATACATTTGGTGTTTGCAAAAATAACCAATATTTTACATAAAAATCGCATTCATCTTAATCAAATATTCGAATATCACAATCAAAAATTAATAGCAAGAATTAATATCTTATACCCTGTCCTTGCTGCTGTTGACATTGGACTGACTTAGAGTACTTTCTATTCTTTTTAAAGTTTAAACATTATTTTCACTTCACTGCTTCCCAAGGGCTCTCTATCACAAATCTACTTAATTAGAGGGCACAGAGATCCTGCATTTACTTCTACCTTTCACCTTGGATATAAGAGAAATCCAGGCAAGACACAGTTTGAGATATAGGGTACCTTACGGTAGTGACCCCTCTTGATGCCCTGCTAAGATCACTGAATACAGTGCCATAATAGGAACAAATTACAATACCATTTATGGTGTTGATTATATCTTGATGATATCTTTCAGTGAAATTCAATTGTAGGTACTCGCTGTTGCAATGTGTCTTTTATTGGCTCTTTATGTAATTATCTTTATTTTTCACCCTCAGATGACTGCCCTTTCTCAACAAGTTACCCAACTGAGCAAGGACCTGAATGAGATGCTACAGCTTATGAGGCCTGTGCTCCTCAACCAGAACTTTGTAACATCTCCCGCAGCGGGTCTTCTCACTCCTAGCCTCAATAACACCTACAGTAACAGCAGTGGTTTTTGTAGTGGACAGCAGTCCCAAGTTACCATTCCAAGCCTTGTTGGATCATCCTGTCCTGGTCAGACAAGAGTAGATGGAGCACCATCTGACACAGCATGGATGGAGGCCTTACCCCAGCCACCTCAGGCTGTTCAGCCAGAGAATTTGTGCAGAAAGAACGTTCATCCTGCACTTTCTCTGGATTCATTCCTTAGACATTCATGTCCCCACCACAGACAGCTTAGGAGCTGTGGTCCTCTGACCCTGAACCAGCCTCTATCCCCATGTCATAGCCATTTTCCCCAAATACAAATGAACCACGTGAGCCAGGTATCCCATAGCACTTCATCCCCGGTAATGGCTGCTCACCAGTCATCTAACAAACAGAATGAAGTACAGAAGTCCAGCCCAAATTTCACATCCAGGAGATCATTGTGTAGCCCTCAAGATGCTGACCCAATAAAGGATAGAGTGGTTGACCTATTGGGATTGATGTCAAGAGACTATAGAGAGACATCTCCTGATGCTTTGGAGTTGGTCCGTAGTTCATCTGGAGATTCCCAAGGAGACATCATAAGGTTTATAGATGATGAAGGTACCAACGTGTAGGCGGGAAAAAAGCCATGGTGAAGCCAAAGCACTGACCATGGAGATGTTTACCAAAGTGTACCTCTCCAAGGCTTGACCAAGCTACTGTAGGATAAAACTATTTTGATGACAACAGAATGTCTAAATACTGCCAGTTTTCTTTCTCATTGCCACAACGCTGCTAATTGGGCAACAGGAGACACAATCAATATTACTTCAACATTTCTTTTTTCTTGCAAAAAACATACTTTACATGAGAAAAAAATAAACCGTTTGAAGTGAGGGTGCATTGGGCTGGTACCGTTTACAGTCAGATTGTTCCTCAACTCTAGGCAGACCTACTAAACTTAGGAAGCGTTACAAGTTAGTTTATAGAGCTTGCTAGCTAAGGACTTAAATCTATGGTTTATGATGCAGGCCAGATCTAGTACACAAATGATAAAGGGAACAAAAGGTATTGTGTGATTTTCAGAAGATTTACGGCATGGAACTAATAGTTTCTTATAGCATGATTTTCATTTAAACATTGATTAGAACACAGAATACAAGTTTGAGCCAAATATTTTAAAAGGGAACATTTCTGGATGGTTTAAACTTTTTTCTTTCTTTTTTGAGTAAAAAAAAAGGACCTTATTTTTCTATATTTGCTACTTGAAGGTTTATACTAAACTTTTGTTTTGGTTTTCTTTGTCATTCTAAAGCAGAGAAATTTATTTAAGCCCTTTAATTGCTAGAGGGGACATATAAGCACATTCTTCTGCTGTGTTGATGGGCCCTCTGGCAGGGAAATACGTACAAAAAAGGGATCAAATTAAAAGTGCATGCTGTGCAACGCATGGAGCATTTTCTGGGAGAAGGTGTATCTGAGCAACTGGAAGAATCTATTTATTTTGCTTTAATAAAGATAATATATTAAAAATAATTTATTGTTTGACAATTATGAATAGAGAAAAAAATGATTTTTATGATATAATTTATATATTACATCTTACACAGAGAGGGTATTGCCGTGTGTTCCTGTTTGCATGAAACAACTGTGCAACATCCGGACAGCCAGCTGAAGTATTTCCACTGATATTTTATTATGCAGTTATATACTGTGTTTATATACCATCAACATATGTATCAGTTATCCAGTGATACTCTCAATGCTGCAATTAAAAAAGCCTTTGGTGCAGTCAGCCTTTACATACGTTAAAGTGTATGTAAAGTGTAATCTGTTTTAATGTTGTTGTTTTGCACAGAGTAGGGAATATTAAGCCCTCACCACTGGCAGGAGCTGGCCATTTAACTGGGCCGTGATGCCAGAGGCCAGTAGGAGGGGCTCCAGTTTATTCAATCACTGTGATCGGCTATGCATTTATGATGTAATCTGGAGCCTGTCCTACCGTCTCCCGGTATTTGATTGTGAGCTGTTGGTGCCTGCTCGGTCACAGTGCTGGGGGTGCTGATTGAGCAAGCCCCAGAAAAACAAAGCGAAGCATATATGCGGCAGCTGGTTTATGAAGGCCCACGCACCATGTGTCCCATCAGGAAGATTTTCACACACTTCCTACTCCAGAGACACAACAGGAAGTAAGAGGAATTCTCTTCCAAGCAAGGTTAAATCCCCCACTTAGACAATTGTCACCAGCATAAAGGTTTCCCAGTTGTAATATATGTGATTACTAGGGTTAATATTCCTACTGAGGACACAGACAGCAATAAAACCCAGACATATATTAACTCTTCCAAATTCTATACAAAACTTTTGGTTTTAGCACTTAAAAGGTAGATCTGCCCCAAACGGATATTTTAGCTTTGGATATATGACAGTGGATGCGTCTGCAACTGGCATCCTATGTCCCTCCGGGACTGGTTAGCAAGATCTCAGTGCCCAGATCTTTTGTCTGTCATAGTCTAATGCATTCTGTCTAATGTAAAACCATTAATATCCAACTGCAGCCAAAACTATATAGATAGAGTGGGGAACAGTTTGCAGATCTGCTACTCTTTAGTTCTCTCTTTCCCTGTTGGAGTTTCTCCTCTCTCCCTCCCTATCTGATGAATGTTAGACATTTTCTAGTAGAGTGGGCTAAGGGTTACAACCTCTTTCAGAATTTGATTGCTGTCTGTGTTGCCATTAGGCAGATTTCTCCTGACTCCTTGTCCAAATGATGAGTTTTGAACAGAACAGGAAGTAAAATCTGGGACAAAGACAATGACTAAAATCCGACAGAAGAATCTCATTCAAATACTAAATGTTAATGCTTCTGCACCTTAAGGCCTTGTTCACACCTGGGCGTTTTGTAGCGCGTTTGAACGCTCTGCAAAACGCTCAAACACCGAAATCCCATTATGTCCTATGGGTATGGTTCACACCTGGGCGTATTACAGGCCGTATGAAGGCGCTACAAAACGTCCTATGCCCAAAGAAGTACAGGAGCTTCTTTGGGGCGTTTTTGTCGCGCATTTCCATTGCGATACATCCAGGTAGCCCACGGAAACGCACGTTTGTCGTGCGTTTTTTTACCGCGAACCGCGGTAAAAACGTGCGTCACGAAATGCGCGACAAACGCGCACATTCGATACGCCTAGGTGGGAACCCAGCCTTAACTGAAAAAAAAAAAGTCAGTGGGGCTGAGCTTAAAGAAGAGTGTAATCCCATTGTTATAGCTTCATACGTTGGGAGTAGCTGGGAACCCAGGTGCAGGGACGCAGATTCCGATATCCCCATGATGTTTAAAGTTAAACTCCAAGTCAATAGCTAAACACATAGATGAAATACATATATGAGATCTGTTTTACTTGCCAAAGGACTTATATATCTGTATATGCATTTCTGAGATTATCACAGCCCCTTCTAGCAGGGCAGGAGACCTGTTCTCTCTCTGTTGCAGATAACACTTACAGGTTGTGTCCCTCCCCCAACCTGTGACTGGACAGTGAAAGAAGAAAGAGCATTTATGAACTCATCTCTTGGTCACTTTGCTTTCACCTGTTATCAGCATGCTCCTTGCACTACAGTACAACTGATTGGCTCCTTTTTCCTTGCATCTGGCTGAATGCTGCTGTAAGGGGATTGCAAAAGGCTAATACCAAGCCAAATTTAGTTACTTGTACTGCTCACATTAAAAGAAAAAGACATTTAATGATGTATTCATGAATACAGGGCTGCATTTATGTGTGTATTTTATATTTGCTTGGAGTTCAGCTTTAAGAAGCTAGAGGATGATTCAACTTGCCAGAATTCACCTGCATTGAAATATCAATTATAGTTTTCTTGATCTTAAAACACAAACACAACAGTTTAACCCAGGGGTGCCCATAAGGTCGATCGCGATCTACCGGTCGATCACGTAGCGATCCCTGGTAGATCGCGATGTCCACTCCTCCCGCCGGTGGTGTTTCCCTGGATCCCCGCTGCAGCGCGGATCCGAGAAGAAGTGAAGGAACCGGTGGCGGGGGAGGGCGGAGCTACTGTCACAGAACTAATGCCGAGGGGTGAGGAGAGTGAGACGCTCGGTCTGGATCTGACAGCTGGCGCCTCTCTCTCCCCTCACCGCTCGGCCTTAGTTCTGTGACAGCGGCTCCGCCCCCACCCACTGCTGAAGTGCTTCATGTCGGATCCCCCTCTGACTCTGCCCGGGAGAACGGGGGGGAATCAGTGGGAGAAGCTGAGCCCCTATGTGTGTGGCCGAGCGGCAGAGGGTCAGCACATCTCATTGATAGGTACCGGTCCTCTGTGTAGGACTTTGACTTCAATGCACCGCCACGCCCCCTCCCGCCCCTTAATGCAGGTGTTTTTTCGTTGGTAGATCTCATTGAGCTCATCATTTGTAAAGTAGATCTCCAGACGAAAAATTGTGGGCGCCCCTGGTTTAACCTGTATTGCACTACATGTTTTTTCTCTCTAGATCCAGAGCTTCAGGTTAATAAATAGAAAATGTATACTATTAGGTATTACAGTTATTAAAGAAGTGTGGGGAGGCTAACATACACTATCCTTGCTACTTAGAGATGCTGTGGGACACAACTGTCACAGATCAAGAGCTGAATGATCATGTAACCCCAGAATGCCCTACTCGTGGTATCTTCCACCTGTGGAAAGCAGTGACTGTCATTCCCTGTTTCCCACAGGAATCCCCCTTCCCTCTCTATTCCTCTGGCATTCATTGGAGGGACAGACAGGGGAGAGGGTGGGCATGGATGACTTTGGCTTTAGAGTGGCATAGCCAACCTAGGTGGATAATGACAATATCATTGGGATCCTTCCCAGCTGCAGCATGGTTCTGCACTGTCAGCAGATAACAGACATTAGCTATCTGCTGACTTTGGGTCACAGGAGTATATTAGAAAATGTACCCCCTGTGACCCAGAAGATAAGTAAAGCCAAAACAAAAGGGTTGGCTGTACTGCTGTTTTAAGGATCCTTATCATAGGTCTTCTTACATTGACCGTGTCATACAGTCTTGCGCAGATTTTTCAACTTTAAATCCAGAAACAATTTCACACATCCAAGTAAAGAGTTGCAGCTGAGCTGCAGTTAGCTAAACTGAACTCACAATAAGACATCCAATTGAATGCTGTCATTAAAAAGAATGGGGTTAAGACGACTTAGAAATTTTCCCTAAGGCCAAAGGCTTTGCTGCCTCTCCTTCTCAATTTGTTTTAATGCATATCTCCCGGAGAGCTGAGAGGTTGACAGGACACACAGTAATGTGAAGACATCAGACTTGTTTAACAAATATCCTCTTTGAAGGTGTAAGGTCTGGGGAGCTGCCAAGCTCATTTGGATTTTAATTACACCATTCCTCAAAGTATATTTGTATACAGTCACTGCAACATAACCCGTTTAACGCTCTTACAATACGCTTTGTTGCAGGTTACATGATCAATGCTGTAATTGCTTCTAGCAGTGTTTCTCAGCTATATACTTTTATGTACACCGTTTAACAACAGATGTTTGCCAAGTATCCCGTTTATGTGCTAGTTTATGTAAAAGACACTAAAAGGTCTGTACTTTGTTGTCCTTGCCCTCTTAATGTGTGTATGTATTTCTAAGAATCGCCTCCTGTCTTTATAAATGATTGAACTCTATATGTTGCATATTTATTAATTCCAAGAACTACTCTGTACTGAACGTGAAAGGCCAAAGTATCAGTTGGACAACGTACGCAGATGGGCACACATGTGACAATTTGAGAAACACAATATAGACAAGCTAAGTAACTTACCGAGATGTTCATTGTAAAGAACTACT